TAATTTTGTACAGGATGTCTGTTTTCCTTTTATTGTGATATGCAGAAGTTGCAAGAACTTTTATGAATATACAATAATGTCAGGGTAAAAGACTTTTGCCTTTAGTTATGCCAATCTGTTTAAAAGGGATACCATTGTTTACAATTCCATTTCATCCTTTTTGACAGATACTGCTGAAACAAGCTTAGCATTTAAGAAGCATTTTGAAAGGGAAGTATCCCACTATGACCATGTGTCCTGCATTAGTCTAGTGGAGCAGACAGGGAAAGAGAAGGTCATTGCAGATGCCTACCTGAATCACATCTTCATGCTCGACTCATCTGACCTCACCTTTGTCACCTTTGACTTCCATGAATACTGGTGAGTTGTGAGATGTGACATAACATGTCAAGTGGCGATAATGTAAAATAATTTTATTTTGATATTGATGGAAATATCATTTTTTAATATTTGCAAATATTAATTTAGTCTGATAATGCTATGCTTGTAATATTTACACAACAGTTATAGTATTATGTGGTAAAATAGTGAAACATATTTATGCATTTTTAATTCTTTTTACTTGAAACAGCCGTGGAATGCGTTATGAGAATGTGTCTGTCCTGATTGAAGGCATAGAAGATTGTATTTCAAAAATGCTTTACTGCTGGGTAGACAAGGAGGGCACAATCTGCCGTCAGAGTGGTGTCTTTAGGGTTAACTGCATTGACTGCCTTGATCGAACAAATGTTGTTCAGGTAATATATGAAAAATTTTCACTATTTATTATAAATCATTGATCTACCTTAATATACCTATTGAAAATTTTATTTAAACATTTACAAGGACAGGGAGTACGCAGCAGTAAGTGTTAAAGTGATTGCAGCAGTTGTACCAACTGTATCTTGCCTAGTCATTATGCTGTTATTTGTAATGGATAAAGGGATGTACTATACACATACCTTTATCTTGTTGACTGTGCTCATGGGCCGTTAATCTGTTACAAATAAAGAAGATTTGACATATACGTAATTTTACTTAAAATACTCGTAAGTACGTAGGGATGAGTGGTGCAACAGATTTTAGTAAACTAAATTATTTTATTAATTATTTTGTCAGAACCTGCAAAACCAGTATATTAGATTTCTCATCAGTTTATTCTTGCATATAACACAAGAACACAACTGATATTACCGTCACCTTGCTTCCAGACTGCCATTGCCAAATCAGTTTTAGAGGGCCAGTTTGTCAAGCTGGGCATGATCCCCCCAGAACACCCACTGCCACCTGCTTGCCGTTCCACGCTCCAGATTATGTGGGCCAACAATGGTGACACTATTAGTAAACAATATGCAGGAACTTCGGCTCTGAAGGTGATAATGGCTAACAGGATTTTAGAGATGCTGTTCTTGTTGCTTTTGTTATTGTTGTCATTATGTGGTTAGTTGTTGGATAATGTATTGTACATAGAGGATTTTTTTTTTCTTTTTGTTGTATGAAGTTCATGAAAAGAAAAGTAGAAGTTGAAGATATTTTTATACTTTTCTGTATCATTTAAAACTTTTATTAATTATTTCTTTTTGTACAGAGAATAATGACTGTCTTATCTTATACATTAGGGAGACTTCACTCGCACTGGAGAACGTCGATTTGCTGGAATGATGAAGGATGGAATGAACTCAGCAAATAGGTCAGTTAACTTTCAGAATTCTGGCATATATTATTATTGTCATGACTATTATCATGATTATTGTTATGACTGATGATTAGTATGATTATTGTCATTACTGTTATTATTAATATTATTATTACTATTATTACTATTGTTATTCTTACTATTATTTTTACTATGGTTTTTAGTATTGTTACTAGTATTTCTACCATTGTTTTTACCTTTATCACTATTATTACTGTTATTATTATTATTATTATTATTATTATCATCATCTTTTTTGTTGTGATTCTTCTTATTAGATTAGCTTTATTGTTATCATTAATATTATTATTTGTTCGTTGATTTTATTTCTCAATCTTTTTATCATTAATATCTCTAGGACAGCAAGATATGCATTTTTTCTCAAATGATAATCCTTTTAAAGTGTGAAAGGATTCTCAGATGCAGTGTGAACTTTGATGGAAGTCCCTTAGTCTACCTTGTCTATGAGGGATGGACAATTACTATCTTGTATCAGTGATAAGAGTAGTCATATTATAATTGTTATTTTTTGCCTTCTGCTTCTAGGGAACCTGAAAAAGATTTGAATGATTCACAAACTCTGTGGCCTTTGGGGTACACCTCATTTTTGAGAATATTTATGTAATGGTTGGGGGAAGACATTATCAATCTGTGGTATGAGACATGTTCTATTCCTTTTTAGACTGGAGTGTGGAACTGTATTTTTTGCTCTTTTCAACTATTGATTTTGTGCCCGTCACAAATGGTATTCTATTCTGGAACAAGCAGTGGTGTGCGGCTTTATATGTTAGTTGTGTCGTGAGTGTGCGCGTTGTGATCTCGTCCATAGTTTCTGAATATTTGAGCGAGTGAGACAAACAGCACACACATACAGCAGAGCACACACACCACAACAGACATATGATAAGCACTAGATGAAGAATAGCGATGGAGCGTACAGTTAATTTATCAGATCAGAGGTGGTAATATAATATAGAGGACAATCTGAAGGTAGGTTATAAGGAAGGAGTGAAGGAGGATATGAGCTAGGGGAAGAGAAGTATACGAAGAAATATAATAGTAGTATAATGGCATAATATAAACAATATATATATATAAGGAGGAAGGACAGTATATCTATACACATGAGAATATATAGTGCTATATTCTATCTATACTAGTGAGTATAAAGGTATACAGAGGACGAACATGATGATACGGATAATCAGGTATGTATAGTATTAGCTACTTCGTAGTAGTATCTAGGTCTATCTGAGTAGCGTCGTATCTATCTGTATCATATATATTATTATATCGAGCTAAGTAGTATATGGAAGAGAGACATACTGAGGAGTAAGTAAGGTTGATAAGCAATAGTATAAGGTATAATAGGAATAGTAATAGAATAGTAAAGATAATGAGAGGTAGGAATAGTATAGTAATAGATAGGAGATAAGAGAAGAACAAATAATAAAAGTAGACGGTATAATGGATATATAATAATATATAGTGAATAGAGTGAGGTAGATATAATATATATAGGAGGACACACACACTATCTATCTAAATCTGATGTATGATTATCATAAGCATCCATGAGGCCGTTCCATGCGCATGTCGCCCAGATACCATCCATTACCTCCATTCCATCAAACACATATCTACTCGCCCATCCACATCATCCATCCATCCATCCATCCACCATCCATACCATCTATATATCGTATCTATCTATCTATCTATCTATCTATCTATCTGATCTATGTGCTGATGTAGCTACTATCTAATCTATCGCAATATCATCTATCTATCTATCATAGTACTATCTGAGTACTATCTAATCTACATATCTTCTATTCTCATCCTACGTATCTACCATGATAACGAGTAAGATATATATACTATAGTACAGGAGGATGGAAGGAGGTATATGATATATATATATATATATAAAAAAAATTATAAATATATATATAGTATAGGAATACATAAAAAATATAATATAAGGGAGGAGGTAGTTAATATATAGCTATATATAAAGTATATTAAGGGCGGTCACTAGTAACAGTAGTAACCGTCAAATATACATTTATACGCAGTATGATGGAGTAATATACTATATGTATAGAGTGACGATATGTATGCTGAAGGTAAGGGTAGGTATGTATGTTATGGTATGTATGTATGTATGGTATGGTAGTGGTATAGTGATAGGTAAGGAGTGTGATGATATGTTGTATGATGTATGTGTAGTGTGTATATAGTGGTATATGTGAGTGAGTGATATGTATGTATGTGATGATAGTGTATAGAGTTATGTATAGTAGTATGTATGTAATGATGTATGTATGATAATGGATAATGTATGTAAATATGTATTATGTATGTATGATGTATGTAATGTATATATATATATTAATAATATATAAAGGATATACTATAAGATATATATATATATATTAATTATAATGATTTAGGATATAAAATGATGTATAATATAAAAGGATAGCAATAGTATATATATATTATATTATATATTAAAATTATCATAGTGATATAGGTTATATATATTATGAGCAATGTGGATAATATTATAAGGACAGCTATGAGAAACAGAGATTAGTATATACAATTATATGTATATATAAGGTAATAGGTAATAGTCAAATATAGGACATAAAAGAGGTTGATATGTACGTAAAGGCGTATTTTCCATATCCACTATATAGTATAGGTATATGTATGAAATTTCACTACGCTTAGATAAAGATATGATATAGGAATATAGTGTATATATATATAGTTATATATATATTGGTATATAATATGGTATATATATATTATATATACATTAATATATTATATATATTATTATGTATATATAACATATATATAATTTTATATTATATTAATATATATACAGTAGATAAGTTATTAGATTATATATATTATCTAATATATTATTATTATTATACCTAATTATAGTAATAGGTAAGGAATACGTTTTATATATAGGTATATATATAATATTATATATAATACAATATATGGTAATAATAATAGGTATAATATATGAGGTATACATATATATATAGTATATATATATATTATTATATATATAGTATATATATGGTTATAAATATACTATATATAAATATAATATATGATATATGTATATATATATATATAAGTATATATTATAAAGGATATATATTATAAATATATAGTAGTATATATAATATATAAATTATATATATGTTTATATATATAAGTAAATCATATAATTATAAATTAGTATATATATATATAATATTATAGTATATATAGTATATGTATATATATATATATATACTTATGCATATATTATTGAATATATATACTGTATGATAATGGAGATATGAGTATATATATTATGTATATTATTTATATATACTTATATACTATATTTATATATATAGTATGAAGTATACATATATAATATATATATATATATATATTATGTATATATGGTATATATATAGTATTGAGTAATGAGTGTATATAATATTTATATATAGATTAATATATATATTAGATATATATAGTATTGATTAATATATATTTTGATATATATATGAATGAGTATATTATAGAATGTAATTATATATATATTAAGATAGTAAGTATATATTATACATATATACATATAGTATATAATTATATGATATAATATGACATGATAATAAATATAATAATATATATAGGTAATAATAGAGTATGGGAAGATAGTACATATTTAGTAAGTATATATATATAATAAAGAGAGGATATACATATATAATTAAAGAGTATAGTAGTATTAACAAGATAGTAGTAGTATATAGAGGAATATATACGAATATAATAGTTATAAGATACATATAATAATGGAGTATAAGTATATACCGTCAATATATATATATATTAATAATATAATTTTCAGCATATATAAGTGTATGACTATTATACTTATTATAATATAAGTTATAGTGCGGTAATATACTCAAATAATGATAATATAGTTATATATATGGATCAAAAATGTACTGTATATAATATAGATTATATATGAGTAATGAATATAAGGATAAAAGGTATATATTAAATAGTAGTAATATATTAAGTTTTAGTATATTAAAATGGTATAAGGTATGAGTTTAAGGTGATATATATAATAGGTATAATATTATATCTATATAGATATAGTATAGCTAATATATATAGTATACATATAGTATATAATAGGTATGTATATACTGTATATCATAGTATTATATATATACCTATATGTAATATTTTTATATATATAGGTAAGTATGCATATATATATTAATATTTAGTATATATATATAGCATATATCATATATATATAACGCGTATGTATATATATAAAATTAGCTGGTAGGTAATATAACTATGTATTTGTATGGTATAGTTATATATATATGAGATATAAGGTAAGGGTATGAGTAGTATATATAGAGTAAATAGGCATAGTAGATATGTATGGTATGAAGTAGGGAGGTTAAATATAATAGGGAGGAGAATAGTATTATGTATAGTTATATATAATAATATATATATATAATATATAAGTATAGTATATGATATAGCCATTATACTATTATATATATGTATAATTATATATACTATATATCATATATATATATAGTATGTATATTATATATATAATATAGTATGTATATTATATATATAGATATAGTATTATATATGTATAATTATATATATATATAGTATTATATAAATATATTATATATAGTATATACAAATATGCATATATATAATAGTTATGATAGATATATAATATCATATATATATATAATATACATAGTATATAGGCTAGATAGTTAGTATATACATAGTATATGTATACGATATACATATATATATTTTCATGAGACAAATATTAATATACCATGCATATATAAAGTACTATAGTGGAATATAGCATATATATATAAGAATATAGAATATACATATATATATAGTAACATTATATATATATGTACATATTATTGTAGGTATAAAGAGTAGATTAATAGATTATAATAATTAGTTAGGTATAGTTAATGGATATATATAGTAATGTATAGTTATATATATATATATAGTATATAGTATGAGTATATATAATATGATGTATTTATATATATATAAGAATGTATATATAGTGTATATTATTAGTAATATATATAAATATATATAATGTATATTATATATAATAAGCTAAGGTATTATATATAAATGAGATATGATATGTATGTATATATATATATAGTAATATATATATAATATATATATATGTATATTATAATAAGTATATATATAGTAAATATGATATTAAGTATAATAGTAAGTGTATATATTATATAATATGTATATTATATATCTAAATATATATATAATATATAAGATAATATATATATATGTATATATATATAAGATGTTAAAAGGTTAGTATATCTAATATATATATATAGCATATAGTATATATATATATATTATATGTATATTTTAACAAGATTTATATTACATATTATAGTATATTATAGTATAGATTATTTATATACATTATATTTATACATTATAATATAGTTACATATATGTTTATAAGTTAAATATTAATATTTTATATTATATATATAATATTATAAAGGTAAAGTATAAGAAGAGAAAGAAGATAGAGTAGTTATATATTATGTGTATATAAGATAGATAGGATAGGATATAGATAGATAGGATAATAGATAAGATAATAGATAAATGAGATAGAAGATAGATAGATAAGATAGATAGATATATTAGAT